TTTTGGGCACTAGGGACGCTGATCCCAAGCCCGCTTGGATATTATTTATAGTAGACTGGATTCATACAGGTAGATTGAACCGAAAAGCCCGCGGGGTGAGTGGTAACAATCGAGACTAGATTTTCAATATGGGGTTGATCCTGTGTGTCAGTCCTTTAAACCATCGTGTGAAGAGGACTACCTCCCGGCGAGGGGGATTTTGCAACAGGTCGTCGGGGGGAGTCCCTCCCGACGAGCTGCTATGTACATCAGCTCGTTGGGAGGGATTCCTCCCGACGAGCTGGTCTTTGTACCAGCTTGTCGGGAGGGGTTCCTCCCTACGAGCTGGTCTGTGTACCAGCTCGCCGGGTGGAATCCCTCCCCGGCGAGCTGGAATGTGTACCAGCTCGCCGGGAGGGATTCCTCCCGGCGACATGGAAGGGGGGCCAGTTGGTTTTTCTCCTTTCTTTGAAAAAAAAAACACATTTCTTTACCTCTTGGCACCGGGTATCCCTTGGGATACCCGGATATCCGCCATGATTTGGGGCGGAAAAGGACATCCGCACCCGAATCCGCACCCGCTGGCGGGTATCCGCTGGCACCGGCGGGTATCCGCCAGCGGATAGCGGATATCCGCAACGGATATCCATCGACCATCTCTAGCGCTGACCACCTCATTTACTCAGACCTCTCAACCTCATAGCCTCAACAACCAATGTCATCCTCAGTTCCCTTATATCATTCCCTTTCTCATTTTATATAACAAAAGACTGCTGCTCATTTCACTCATCCTGTGCCTGTTTCTTCACTTGACTGCTCTCTGTCTCTTTCCAATAATCTCTTGTATATAAAATGATGTATTGTTTGTGACTGTTTGGTTCCTCTCCTCATGCTTCCTGGAAATCTAACGATTTATCTACATACATCACATTCACAGTCACTGACTCTGCAAGTCACACTACACATAGTATCTGCATACTTTGTTCCCTTTTACTCACGCTCCAAGAGCTTACTGCCCTCGCTAGATGCGCTGCAGATGGTGCCAAACCGGTGTTGATACCATTAGCTCCCACAACCAGAAATATCATACACAATTCCCCAGATTTAAGGTGTAAGCTATATACAAGATTGTTGTGTTCTGGTTAGAAGCATACTGCAATATTTAATACAAGCATAATGTCTTAACAAATTGGTTCAACAAAAAGCTCGCAGCTCAACACCAAGCTCTTGCAAACTTGGATTTGGTTGTGTTTCTCCTGAATTCTCTTGATTCTTTTTTGTTCAAGGACCCAATCAAGAAGGCCGGCAACAAGTGATTTGTCAAAAACCACTGGGATGCTGCAACCAAGGACTACAATCTGGAATTTTTAGAGCAGCCGGATGCCAAAGCAACATCTGAAGAAGAAGAAGGCAAGAGTGATTATGGAGGGAGCATTGATTTAGAGAAAACAGATGGCAACAATGTTGTCAAGGATGACGATGAGGATGATGATGAAGAAGAAAGTGGGGACACAGAAATGAAAGTTGGGGGAAGTGGTAGCCAAAATTTTGATGAAACTACAAGGAGTATGACAAAAACAAGGAGGAAATGGACATCAAGCATTATGGAAAGGGGAATTATACCAGAGGCCTTAATGACCAAGATAATATTATTGCTATTTTCTTTGGGCATTAATAAAAACACGCGGTAAATCCACGTTTACACGCGGTTTCTGGTGCGCACAGCACACGCGGATTCCGCATGTACACACGGTTTTTCAATTAATTTTTTACCGCTTATTTTTTGAGTTTTTTTGAAATTTTAAAATTGATTCCTACACTATGAAAGGTGTAGAATTTAATGGTCAAGTCCATTTTCCATAGAAATGACTTTTGATTATTAATATTTTTTTTGGGCCTTAATAAAAAAAACGTGCTTTTTCCGTGTTTAGACACGGTTTTTCTGCGGCACAGCAAACGCGGTCTCCGCGTTTAGACGCGGTTTTTTAATTAATTTTTTTTTGCCATTAATTTTAAGTTTTTTTGATTTTTTAAAATTGTTTCCTAGGTTATCAAATGCATAGAATTTAATGGTAAAGTCCATTTTCCATAAAAATGACTTTTGATTATTAATTTTTTTTCCACTCATTTTTTCAATTAATTGTTTGCATCAAGTTTTTTACCTTATTTTTTAGGGCCTTAATAAAAAAACACAGTTTTTCCGCGTTTACACGCGGTTTTGCTGCGGCACAGCACACGCGGTTTCCGCGTTTAAACAGGGTTTCGTAATTAATTTTTCGTGGGTTATTTTTGGGCCTTAATAAAAAACACGGTTTTTCTGCGTTTACACGCGGCTTTGCTGCGGCACAGCGCACGCGGTTTCCGCGTTGAAACACGGTTTTGTATATAATTTTTTACCGCTTGTTTTTTGAGTTTTTTTGAATTTATAAAGTTGTTTCCTACACTTTAAAAGGTGTAGAATTTAATGGTAAAAACCATTTTCCATAAAAATGAATTTTGATTATTAATTATTTTTTTCACTCATTTCTCAATTAATTGTTTGCATACATGTATGTACCTTATTTTTTATGTTTTTTTTAAATTTTAAATTTATTTAATAGGTTTTAATATGCGTAGAATTTAATGGCGCAATTCAATTTTTTTAAAACTCAACGGTTCACTTTTAATACTCAAATTACACCCATTTTTCTACTTAAATTTTTAGAGCTTAATTTTCATTATTTTTTGATATTTCAAACTTATTTACCACACTTTAAGACATGTTCAAAATGATGGTAACAATCATTTTGCATAGAAACAAAAGATTGGTATTGAATACTGCGTTGGACAGGTTTTTTTCAATGTTTTCAAAATTAATTTTTACTGGCCCAATTTCAATCATTTTTTGGAATTTTAAATTGATTTCCTACATTGAAAAATGTTTAGAATTGAATGGTGAAATCCAATTTCCATAAAACTTGAAGCTTCAATCCAAATAGAAGAGTGTACCCCATTTCTTGCATAATTTGTCCTGTATAAAAATTTTATTTGAATGAAAAATGGACAGCCATCAATTTTAAAGGCTTTCAAAGTGTAGGAAAAGAACTTAAAATTCCAACAAATAAGGATCATTAAGCGTGTAAGAATTCATTAAGGAAAAGCGTTCAATGCAGTATTCAAGATATAATTTTAATTTTTATGCAAAATTATTGTTACCATCATTTTTAACATGTCTCAAAGTGTGGGAAATGAATTTAAAATGTCAAAAAATAATGAAAATCAAGCTCTTAAAAATAAATTGAATTTTAAGACCAATTACAGTATTCAGAATGAACCGTTGATTTTTATGGAGATTGAATGTTACCATTAAATTCTAAACACTTTGAAATGTAGGAAACAACTTTAAAATTTCAAAAAAGCATAAAATATAAGGTAAAAAAACTAATGCAAACAATTGAGTGAAAAAGTGAAGAATTAAATAAACAAAACGGTGTCAAATGCAGTATACAAGATGTAGTTCTCATTTTGGTGCAAAATAATTTTTACCATAAATTTATACATGTCTGAAAGTTTAGGAAAAAAATTAAAATGTCAAAAAAGAATGAAAATTAAGCTCTAAAAATTTAAGTGAAAAAATGGGTGTAATTTGAGTATTAAAAGTGAACCGTTGAGTTTTAAAAAAAATTGGGTTGCGCTATTAAATTCTACGCACATTAAAACCTAGGAAATAAATTTAAAATTTCAAAAAAACATAAGAAATAAGGTACATACATGTATGCAAACAATTAATTTAGAAATGAGTGAAAAACAATAATTAATAATCAAAATTCATTTTTATGGAAAATGGTTTTTCCCATTAAATTCTACACCTTTTAAAGTGTAGGAAACAACTTTAAAAATCTAAAAAAACTCGAAAAATAAGTGGTAAAAAATTAGGGCCTTAATAAAAAAACCCGCATTTTCCGCGTTTTGACGCGCTTTTGCTGCGGCACAGCACACGCACAATCCGTGTTTAAACCCGCTTTTTTAATTAATTTATTTTTGCCATTAATTTTGATTTTTTTTAAGTTTTTAAAATTTTTTCCTAGGTGAAAAAATGCGTAGAATTTAATGGTGAAGTCCATTTTCCAATGAAGTGACTTTTGATTATTAATTTTCTTTTTCCACTGATTTTTCAATTAATTGTTTACATACATGTTTCTACCTCATTTTTTATGCTTTTTTGAAATTTTAAATCTATTTCCTAGGTTTCAATGTGTGTAGAATTTAATGGTGTAATCCAAATCTTTCAAAACTCAACGGTTCATTTTTAATACTGAAATTTGACATTTTTTTCACTTAAATTTCTACAGGTTAATTTTCATTATTTTTGGACGTTTTAAAATTTTCTCCTGCACTTTGAGACATCTAAAAAATTATGGTAACAACCATTTTTCCCCAAAATAAAAACTATACCTTGAATGCTGCATTTGACACATTTTTTTTAATTAATCCTTCACGTTTTCACTTAATTGTTTGCATACATGTGTGTACCTTATTTTCTATGATTTTTTGAAATTTTAAAGTTTTTTCCTACATTTGAAAGTATGTAGAATTTAATGGTAATATTCAATTTCCATAAAACTCAATGGTTCATTCCGAATACTGCAATTAGTCATATTTTTCAATTGATTTTTAACAGCTTAATTTTCATTATTTTTTGACATTTTAAATTTGTTTCCTACACTTTCAGACATGGTAAACATGATGGAAACAATCAATTTGCATCAAAATAAAAACTGTATCTTGAATAATGCCTTTGACGTATTTTTTGAATTAATTCTTACCACTTAATTACCCTTATTTTTTGGAATTTTAAGCTCATTTCCTACACTTTGAAAGGTTTCAAAATTGATGCCTGTATCCATTTTACATTCAAATACAATTTGTATACAGTACAAATTATGCAAGAAACGGGGTACAGTGCCTAGACAGTGAAAAATGGCGCGGGGTGAAAAGGGTGATTTTGCATATTTTATGCAAGTGCACCCTGCTGCCCCCTATCCAGCCAGTCACTATCACTCCCTCCCTATTGGATCACAAACAACACCGACGGACAGGAAACTCAAGCAAAGTAAGTCTTTTTTTTTCTTTCCTATCTACTTTCCGCCACCTCCACAACTCTCGACATCGCCCCGCAAGCTAGGCAAAAAGAAGAGCGGACGAGCGGCCGAGTATTTGTCGGCATCACCACCATTGTAGGAGGACGGAATCATGCAGCGGGTCTTCGATCTGGCCGATCTGCGCTCCTCGTCATTCATTTAGTGCTCAGCCACCCCCGCCTGTCGGTCTTCCGACGCACTCTCAACCATCTCGTCCGAGCCAACGTCGCCCTCTCGCCCTCGATCTGTCGACGAGCCTTCTTACTTTGCAGGAGGAGGAGCAAGAGGAGGGAGAGGGGGAGACCGGTATTGCGAAGGGAGAAGATGAAGCTTACATCCGAGAGATTGAAGAGGAATCTAGAAGCGCCAAACGACGGGCAGAGATCTTGAACGTGTTCCTCAATCCATCTTCTTCCTCCTCCTCCACCACCACCATCGGGCCTCGCTCCTCCTCCAACAAAATCACTAAACTCGCCACCGTGCGCTTCAAAACTTTCTCCTCAAACTCGGCGACTGGGTCCGCTTGTTCGACCCGCTTCATCCCGCAATCAACTGACCCGTTTTGGATGACCACCTCTTGATGGATGGCCGCGTCGTGATGGGCGAGGAGCTTATCAACAGCCAAGATGGTCTGGTCGATGTCTGAGGATCGGAGAGCGTTTGGAGAATATATACGCGTAAGCTCCGATAGCCTCTGCATCCCATTCAGTTTCTCAGAGAATCATGTCGCTCGTACTTGCATTGATTCGAGTTAATGAAACAACCAACGTTCCATCCTCCTCCTCCTCCAGCCACTCCCAGCCAACTTGCTCCACACCGACGACGGCTCCGTCGCCGGCGGCTCCTCCTCCTCCTCCAGCGACTCCCAGCCGACTTGCTCCAGACCGACGACGGCCCCGTCGCCGGCGGCTCCGCCTCCTCCTCCAGCCACTCCCAGCCCGCGGCGGCTCCTCCTCCTCCTCCAGCGACTCCCAGCCGACTTGCTCCAGACCGACGACTCCCAGCCGACTTGCTCCAGACCGACGACGGCCCCGTCGCCGGCGGCTCCGCCTCCTCCTCCAGCCACTCCCAGCCCGCCCAGCAAAGGCTACATCGTCCCCGACCAAGACCCCTCAACGGATGACAAGTTCTACGTCTCCTCCTCCGCAGCTCCGTCCCGTCCCTCAGCCCCCAAACCTCCGCCCTTTCATCATAATCCTGAGCCTAATCATTGATTCTTTTTCCAATGCTTCAGATGCCGCGAAAACCACGAAAACCACAGGTGGCATTCGAGCAGAAAGCAATCATTGTTGGCATGTCAAAGGCCGGAATGAAGCCAACAAAAATCTCTCAACAGACCGGTATCAGCCGAACGACAGTATCTGCCATCATCGCCCGTTCACTTGCCCGTGGGACCGTTGCAAGGCAGCCTGGATCTGGCAAACAGCCCAAGACTAGCGAGACCGACCTCCACCTGCTCGGAAGGATCCTCAAGGAAAACCCTTGCATGAAGATGGCGGAGGTTCGAGACCAACTTGCTGTTCCAATCAGTACCCGAACTGCTAGACGACGAGCTCACAATCTTGGTTTCAACAATCGGGTGGCCGTGAAGAAGCCTTTCCTCACTGAAACCCACGAGTGATGTTGCTTGCAATTTGCCAAACGCTACAAGGACTGGACCCCCAACGACTGGAGGAAGATCGTGTGGACCGACGAGTCCTCCTTTGAAATTGGAAAAATTTCTCGACAGGTCGTTGTTTGGAGAAAACCCGAGGATAAATATAAAAAAGAGTATCTAACTCCGACATTCAAGAGTGGTCGAACTTCGACAATGGTCTGGGGAGCGTTTTTCGGAACCACTCGTGCCCCTCTCACAATCATCCCCCCCGGCCAACGAAAGGCCGCACAATTCATCAAGAACGTCTATGAGAAGGCCTTGATCCCCTTCCTTGAAGAAAACGACCCCAACCACGAACTCACCCTCATGGAGGACAACGCCTCGGTCCACACCGCTAAGCTCAGCCGTGAATTCCTCGACTCGTATTTGATTGAGAAAGTCGACTGGCCAGCACAATCACCTGACCTCAACCCCATTGAAAACGTCTGGAAGGTTCTCAAGAGTAACATTCAAGAGCTCTACCAGCCGCGATCCATCCCAGAAATGCACGAGGCCCTCCACCAAGCCTGGGCCGACTTCCCTAATGACATCCTTGACCACCTCATCGAATCAATGCCGCATAGGATGGCGGCTGTCATTGAGGCAAAGGGTGGTTCCACCCGATGGTAGAAAAACACTTCATGGTATTTTTTATTACTTATATTAAACAAAAAAACTTGAAAAAGACATAAAAAAAGCATAAAAGACAAAAGAAAAAAGAAAAAAATTAAAAAAACAATAATAAAAAAAACTTTTTTAGCTTTTTTTTTATATTCTTTCTTCTCCACTCTCAGCCCATCCCCCCTCAAAATTGTGTATTTTTTACATCAATATTGAAAAAACTACAAAATTTGATTTTTTTCAACAATTTTTATCTTTTTTTTGATTGCATGTGTAATTAATCTGTTTCTATATTCTTTTTCCCTGACCCACTGTGCCCCTGTGACAAAAAAATTGGAGTTGAAAAGTGGCTCCTTGCCCTCCAAAAAAAAATAAATGGGACGCCATTTTTCACTGTCTAGGCACTGTACACTCACGTATTATAATTGAAGCTTGTATTTTTATGGAAATTGGAATTCACCATTCAATTTTACACATCTTTAAATGTAGGAAATGAATTTAAAATTTTGAAAAATGATTAAAATCCAGCCGGTAAAAACCAATCAAAAAAACATGTCCAACACAGTATTCAATAACAGTCTTTGGTTTTTATGCAAAATGGTGATTACCATCATTTTACTCATGTCAACGGTGGGCCAGTTACGCTAACCGTAGTGTTAGTGTAGCGTAGTGTTAGCTTTTTAAGCTACGCTACAAAAAAGTTACTGTTAGCGAAAATTTTGGCCCACTAACACTACAGGATTTCTAAAAAATTCAAAAAAAACTTTAGCGTAGCGTTAGCTGACTGAAAAAAATGCAAACTAACACTAACCAAATCCCTTGTTAGTGGAATTGTAGCGTGGTTAGTGGGCTAAAAAGTTACACTAACTGTTAGTGTAACTTTTTGATAAGTTACACTAACTGTTAGCGTAGTGATCCCGTCAGTTACACTAACTGTTAGCGTAACTGATCAAAAAGTTACACTAACTGTTAGCGTAACTGATCAAAAAGTTACACTAACTGTTAGCGTAACTGAAAACTGAGTCATAATAATGTGTAGGGGGCTCAGATGTGATGGGAAATGGTCATCAAAAAATGATTTTCAGGTAATTACTTGGGAAAAAAGCAAGAAAAAAACCAAGCATTTATTCTGGAGCAGGACAAATCATCAACTAAAAATCAAGATTTTTTTTTTGGTTAGGTATGGTTAGGAATAAATAATAAAAAGAAAAACTAACTGTAAGAATTTTTTTTCTGGCTAAGCATGATCAAGCATTAGTGATAAAAAGAGATAGTAAAAGGCGTAAAAAAACACAGATGGAAAATATTCTACTGTTTCTTTTCGGAAAAATCCATGTAAGATCTAACAACTGTTTGTGCTTTTGCATAATCACCAGAAACTTGAATACCTTCTTTCAACCACATATGACTACTAACACACCTTTCAATTGTTCGTGGTTTTAATGATCCACATCCAGTTGAACAAACATCAGCAGCCAAGGAAAAAGTAAGCTCAACTGCACATGAGGATGCAGAAGATGCCAAGTAGTCCTTGGCTAATGATGCAAGAACCGGATAGGTGGATGCATGATCCTGAAAAATAAGAATAAAAAAGAAAATCATAATGAGATTAATAACTTAATGCAGGTGATAAACAAAGAGAAATTCATACCTTCCACCATAACAAAAGCTCTTTGGGACACTTCGTAGAGATTGCTGGGAGGCGATCCATGTTGTTGATATATACCTCAAGCTCTTTGTTTTCTTCTGTTGATTTTGCAGGCTTGCTGAACATTTCAAAAATGTCATCTTCTTCAACCGGAGGAGTTTTCTTTTTGACTATTTGAATATTGTCTTCCTTCTTCTTCTTCAGAACCTCCACACGCTTCGCAAATTCTTTCTCCAGAAGTTTCTTGGCCACGTCCGCTTTTTCAGGCCAGCAATGGGTGAATAGCCCTAATCGGAATGACGGGTGGAGCAAGGTAGCCATAATGAGAGTTTCACACTCGAGCGCCTCGTCTTGGTAGATCTCGAGTTTCTTGATCATTTTAATATACATTGGATGCATTGCGTGTCCTTGGCTGCACTTGTCCTCTTTCTTCTTCAAAGTTAAGATTGTATGATAATAGTTCGGCAAGACAAAAGCACCTGTAGGACCATCACCCTCCATAAGTTTGGTCAGGCGGTTAAAAGGCTGAAATATAAAATTCAGCATTGTAACTAAGATCTGAATATATTAGTATTACACAAATTACTTACTTCTAACTCTTTATTCAATTCATTAATTGTCGCCCATTCCTTCCTTGTGAACTGAATCTCCTTGAAGTGACCAAGCTTCTTGGGCTTTTCCTTGCGGCTAGATTTGGCTCTTTGATCTTGATATTTTTCATACTCATCAAGTAGTATTGAATCGATGACCTACATTTGAGAATATTAGTAAATGTATCTGGTAGAAACAAAATAAATAACATACATCTCTGGCATCATAGGCACGAGTTCGACTTTCGTATTTTATATTCCAACGGATTCCATAACTGATGAAAAACAGGAATTATAATTGAAGCTAGAACCAGAACTTTGAAAAACAAATAAAAAACACACAAGAGTTAGGCACTTGAAGCATAGATAAAAAAACATGAACATCTAACAGTCAACAAAAAGAAAAGAAGAGAAATTAATTTACCACGAGAGGATTTGTCTTTTGAGTTAGACAGAACAGAAATGCTAAAGTAAATTAGATCAAACAGCGAGAGATAGTAGACACTAGTGTTTTTAAAAGAGATTCAGAAAGAGAGTTGATGAGGGTTAATGTTTCTGACAAGAGAAGATGAGATAGAAATTGATCGAGTCTTTTCTCACCAAATTGGCAACAGCCAGATGAGGAATTCAAGAGAGAGAATAGGCGGAGCGACGATGAGTGGTGGATGAAGAGAAGTTGGAAAGACTTGAGTTCGTCGTCGATAGGATTGAGCGAGAAGGGATAGGAGCAAAAGAAGGAAGAGAGAAAGAGAAGAAAAGAAACGAAGTCGGAGAGCGATGAGGAAGGGAATGGTTGAGAGAAGTTGATTGAGGATTGATGAGGTTGGTGGAGTGAGTCGAGCAGTTAGTTGGGATTTGTGGAATGGTTGAGGCGTGAAAGTGTCGGAGACTGCTGGGGGAAAAGGAGTGAGATGAGCGACGACGGAGACGCCTTTTATGCCTTAGTGGAACCCGGTTCAGCTTGTGGTTGAGAGGAGATGTCGGTTAGGCTTGTGGTGGATTAGGTCAGTTTCCATGGTGTTTTGTGTTTGAGGCGGTGAGGAGTCGAGAGTATCGAGGCGTTGTTTTGAGAAGATGGCATTGTTTTGAGAAGATGTATGATTGGATGTATTGAGGGCAGAGAGGAGATAGAGAGATAAGAAACGATCAGAGAGGGATTGAAGGGAGCGGAAGGAGGGAGCGGAGTGAGCGGAGTGCGCGGAGTTTTTTAAGGAAAAGAAAGAACAAAAAGGAAAGATAGAGATAAGAAAAGAAAAGAAAGAGGAGAATTCCAGCGAGAATTCCAACAATAACCAGCAATCAAGTTCTTCAAATCTTTTCCGGCTGCTCTTCACTCAAATTCTTGTCTCCAGACGCAAGAGCCGGTGATTTTTTTTACCACAAAGTCCAACTATGAATGTAATTTGATTGGTCAGTATGTAAAGAAATACAAGAGATAAAAAGACTCACGGCGGTAGTCAACTCATTCAAGTCATTAGAATCATTCCTATTGGCCTTTGAGGAAGATTTATTTCCATCCTTCTTCCCGTCCTTTTTTCCATTCTTCTCCCCGTCCTTTTTCCCGTTTTCTCCTTTGTCCTCAGTGCCATCGTCATTGTCATCATCATCGTCCTCATCATTGTCATTGTCGTCGTCATCTGAGTTCTCCTTTTCATCCTCTGTACAATCACTTCTACCATCGTTTGAATCATCATCTTCATCGTCACCTTCGTTACCATCTTCGTCCTCCTCGGTTATCTTTGGCATCTTATTGGAGTAGGGGAAAGAACCTAAGAATGCTTTCTTCAATTTCGGTGGTGGTGGTGATTCGAGGCCCAATTCCTTCAAACCAGCATTCACAACAAGAGCCATTTTATGACAAAAACACTTAATGTGCATTGTCTTAGGGTCCCATTCAAAATCGGTGTTTTCTCCCAGATCAAGCAGTTTTTCGTGCATTGTTTCAGCCATGGTCATGTTATTTGATCCAGAATCGGTGGTCTGACAAAGCATGTATATATGAGAAGAAGACAAATTAGTTTTTCCCTTTGATTATGAAAATGGATCACAAGTTGAGATTACTTATCTTATTGATGAGTTGATGCTTCTTCAATATGTTTATAATTGGTTCGGCTAAATATCTCCCTTGATGTAACCAGGAAACCAACTTGATGCTCAGATGAAGCACCACGTAATTCAAATCGTTATCAATAAAAGATACTGATACACCAATGAATCCATAGCGATTTCCTTTGGTTGTCCATACGTCATGTATTAAACAAAATTTGCTATTGGCTGCCTGAGGGTAAATAAGATGAAAAATGTAAGTAAATCCTTCTGAATGATTATTAGGAATAGACTACTTACTTTTAAGCAATAAAGCATTGCCTCTTGCAATTCCAAATACGCCTTTCTGGCCCCGGTTGCCGCCCATTTTCGTTTGAAGAGTATTGCAGCTGGTTCCCAGTAATTAAACGCCGCTTTGAGGTATGGATCTTCCACTTGATTCCAAGGTATCGACTGACGTAAGAGCCACAAAACTATGATTTGGTTTAAGATAGTATTGTCGAACTTTTCCACTCTGGCAAAATGAGTCGTTAGGTCTCCATTTCCATTCTTCTTCTTCAAGGGAGGTAGGTGGAAGTTTTGCTCCAGCGGCAATAGCTTTGGCACGATTTGGACATCCATCCGAGACCCGTCCACTTTGACGAGAACCATCACGGTGCACACAAAGATTCGAAAGACTAGACGCTGAAACCCTGACTTCTTTCTTGCACCACAAACAGCTATAGGTTGACGCAGGTTTATCGGCCGGCTCAAAAAATTGAAAAAAAGGAAAAGAAAAAATCAATTTTCATTCATTGACAGAATTATATGATATTGTTTAGACTTACATCATCTTTACGACGAAACGGTTCTGAAAAAAAAACTTTGACGTCATCCTCTTCTGGATTTTTTCGTTGGTGTTTCTTGACTTTAGAATTTTCTTCGTCAGAGTCTTGAGCAAGATCAACGTCCTTGGCAGTAGTGTTTGATTCAGAATTTGCAGCAGCTGGGCCTGTTTTTTTGGGTTTCTTGGGAGCTTTCTTGCGTGTTTGCTGAGACTGAACAGGAGTAGCTTGAGGGGTTGAATCTGAATCAGAGGGTGCATTGGTTCGTTTTCTGGGTTGACTACTGGTTCCAATGGATGTTCTTTCTGACAGAAGTGGCTGGGTGATTGATCTACGGGAATCAGGTGAGGGTTGAATCATTCCAGATCGCTTCATGGGGGTAGTGACTCTTGAGGATTGACGGGTTTGCACCTCCGTGGAATCGCTTACATTGCCAGACTGGTTTGACACGGAAGATTGGGTTGGTTGGCTCGACATGTTGACCTAGATTTTGCACTCGGTGGTTTTTCTTGGGGTAAGCGGGTTGATTGACTGATTGGAGTTGGCTGTGACAGTGGTTGTTGTTTGGGTAAGTGAGTCGATCGTTGGATCAGAGTTGGCTGTGACGTGTCAGGTCTAGCTGGCTTGCTCCGCCCTCACATTTTTTTTTCTCACCCGAAAAAATTTTCACCCCCCGGGGCCCAAACCACATTCACCCTGCCCCAACTGGGTCTGTCCCACAAACAGACCAGTGGAGACTCTTCACTCAAAAGGAAAAACAGAACTGCCAGTGCCAAGCAACAAAAACTCAAAGAATAAAAAATTCAAAAGTTCTAACAGTGGAAAAAAACATAAAATGCAACAATAACAAAAGAACAAAATGACAAAATATAAAAATCCAAACATAAAAAAAAGTAAACGCCAAAAACTCATAAAGTAACAAAAGGAACAATGGACCCATTACATAAAAGAAAAAGAAGAAATAAAATCAACAAAAAAATTCAGAAAGGCTGTGGAAGGATTCACAACCAAAATCTTGTGAATCAACAAAATGTAAAATAACAAAATGATACCACATCTGTCCCCCTTTCAAAATCTCAATCCTATTGTTTAACACTTAATATATCATCATACACACATCTATCTCACCATTCTTTTTCAATATTAATCTAAAATCTATATTATTTTATCAAAGTCTTACAATAGGATGAAATAAAGAATTATTAGAGACATTGGATCAAATACTCAAAATACTCAATATTTAAATTTACTTTGGTGTTTCATGAAGTTGAATTGAGATTGTGCATGCAGTTTTTCATATTTCAGTAAATCTGCAGATGATACAAAAGGTTTTCATGACATGGTCATCTGTCATGAAAGGTTTAGTGAAAAATAGTTGAATTATTCATATGCTCCCTCAGCCTGAGGCTGAATCCTCAAATTTTATTGAATTCATTATTCATTAATGGAGAGTTCATTCTGACAACGGTGGGCCGCTACAGTGTAGCGGCCCACCGTCTACACTAACTGTAGCGGTTAGTGTAGCGTAACGCAGCGGAAGTCCCGTTAGCGTTAAGCGTAGCGTAGCGGAATTCCGCCACGACACCGCTAACGCTACGCGTGTGGGCCACAAAAAAGGGCCCACTACGCTGCGCTACAGCCGTTTTTAGCGGTTTTTAGCCGCTTTTTCCGCTAAAAGTGCTGTAGCGCAGCGTAGCGTAGCGAAAATGCGCTACAAAAGCGCTAACACTACAAAATTTTGGCGCAAAAAAAGCGCCGCTACGCTACGCTTTTTGGGCCAAAAGTGTAGCGTAGCGTAGCGGCCCACCGCTGTCTGAGAACAGGATTCAAATTCTATGATCTAAAGTAAGGAAGTAAACCATATCATTTTAATTTCATTTCTTTGCAATTTCAGAGATAATATTATAAATTCACATAG